ATCACGCTTCCGCTCCTCTTCATTGTATTAATTCAATAGAACAAAAGGAACAAGCGGAACAAAGTCAGAAAGAGGGTCCGTGGTTAGGCCAAATTATACTCTAGGAAATCCCATGAAATATTGAAGATGTAACTAAGTTCTAGGTCATTAGGATAGATTTATACCCTAGTTCCTGACCTGCGATCTAATGGTTCAAGAATTCCAGGATTTATAGTGCAAAAGACCCAGATTAAACATCTCATTAGTTGAATCTGGTTCTTTCGGCGCTCTCTTCATTCGCTTCCTTGTCACACAGCCTTCATCCTATCCTCGCCCTTCAGATTCCTTCACCAGTGTATCTTTAAAGGTAAGGTAATACGCTTCATTTCCAAGTCTATGAATCATCNNATCAACTGTGGTGTCTCTTCCAAGATAGGCGAATTTCCTAATGGCTTGGTGAATGTGCGAAACAACTAAAAGTAAAAAGACAATTGTGCGCGTGATTTTTGTATTTATCTTTTCGCACGTCCCCCAAAAGCCCCAAACAAAAGAGAAATGCAAAGAATGAACACGCATTCCGCTCACTCTGTTCTCTTCATTTGTTTCACTTCTTTTCGTTTGTCTTTGTTTAGTTTGGTGCTTTTGGCATAGGGAAACAAGCCATGAGGAAACACCCAGAGAACAAAGAACTCATTTAATAAGAGAAACACGCGCTCTCTCTTTTTCTTCGTTCACTTGTTGTCTCTCTTTTTTGTCTTAGACCTTGTTGTCTCTCTTTATTAAATTAGACCTTTGTGAACGTCCCACAGTGGTTTCAGCTATGGCATTCGTGGTTTGCGAGCGGATATGGCCTTCCGACACGGCTGGATATTGGAGACATGGTAGGGATGTGCAGCATCTGGTAGCCACCGCAGGGCCCAGCTTGCGAGTTATCAAAGTTGTAAGTCCAATCAGCAGGTTTCCGCATGCACAGGCCGTTCTTGAGTCTAACCCGCAAGCCCAGACAACCTGCATGTGGACTCCATCACGGCAGCTCCGCTGCCAAAGCAGCCCGAGCAGCTTGATACCCAAAACTCACTCCTCGCAAGGAGCACCTGGCCCAATCGTACGATGCTCCCTGTAGTTGAGGACCCTTCGCACGGCCGCAACACTTGCTGACCTCGTCTCAAATCTGTGTTCTCTCCACTGCTATTCGTCTGCTTATTTCCCAGGCAGGGGTATCTCCACTACGTCCGCACGGACAACCTTTGAGCAGTGTGGGGCTGTGACAGAAGCCAAGGTATGCACATCAACCAAGCCGTGCAACTGTGGCTCGGCACCAGATATTGCATCGTCGAAGCAACGATCAGTCCTTGATTAGCTCCGTGAGGTACGACTTCGAGACTGATCCGGAAGAGACCCTCTGCCGCTAAAAGAGATGCTGCAGTCATGATAAGCTTCTAGGAATCCGAGCACTTCCGATTTCCAGCCGAAAGTTAGACTGCTACTCGGATCAGGCAGTCTTGCGACTCAGGACTTTAATGTTCGCCCTGGACGAGGTGCTCTCCGGTCAAACCGACCTCAAGCCGCCCACGGTGCAGAGCATCAGGCCGTTGCAATTGCCCTCGCTAGTTCTTTTTCATTTTAAAGCTCAGGGTTGGTGGGGTTCCAATGCGCAGGCTTATCAAGATCGATGTTGAGGGCATGGAAACGAACGTGGTGCTTGGCGCTATGAATGCCATCTATCAGCCCCTCCACATTCAACATGCTTGAACATGCTGCACTGTCAAGCCGGATGAAAGATGTGGTATATGTGGTGAGGTTCAAGCCCATCATCTGGAGCGAGAACGATGACTATTTTGACAGGCTTCGTATCTTGCGCTTTCTGCCACAGCCAGAGTCGCCGTTCTTCCAGGAGTGATACGAAATTCCTGGCCATCATGGAGCAGTTGGAATACCAATGTGCAAAGGCGCCTGGACCTCCAGTTACGCCAGTTCCAGTTCAGGGCAACATGAACGTGTGACTCGTGCCAGGTGGAGACAGCTCCGAAAGATCTTATGTGCACGGACAAGTATGGACGTGGTCACCAGTTTCAGTGATGCTCGCGCACCTCTTGTTGCGTCATGGATACTGACTCCGGCAATCGCTCTGCGTTGGTGCCAGCAGCAAGAGACTGCCCTTGGTCGCCACAGCGCGGAAAACAAAGCGAGCTGCACACGCGAGCTGCTGCGCACGAGCGCTTGTGGGGGGAATCCGCACGCTGCCTGCAGTGAGCGGCTTCCGGAGTCCGCACGCTGGTCCGTGTCCTACGTGGAGGCCTCGAAGCCGGCGCCTCGGATCCTCGGGGCGAGGGCCGGAGCCGGGATTCCGAAGTTCTCGGCCGAGGGCGCAGGTGAGGCGGCGGCAAGAGGAGGAGAAGACCGCGAGGCGCGCCTTTCTGACACTTTCTGCAAAGATGTCTAGCATCTTATTGCCCTCAGAGCCTTCTGGCCAGTCGGTAGAGAGCGATAGAGCCTGCCGTGTTCTTGATCAGTTCGCGCGACGAAGCCTCACTGACCCACGGCCCACAAGGTGGAATGCTGGGAATCATGACAGCACTGAGTTCTTCAGGCTGACCCGCAGAGTTCCGATGTTCTGGAAAATTTGCATCAGAGCCACAGCCCTGTTGCCGCCAGGAAGATGGGACAGACGATGGCGGACACCGAGAGGTTCAAGGCGACCTGTGCCGCCCTCGTCCCGTTTGTGCGAACTGGTGGAGGAAGCATCTTTGCAGTTCACCGGTACTTGCCAAGACCCCGCTGTCCCATCAGCAGCACGTCTTTACATCGCCACCTGCATCTTCCTCCCCCTCGTCGTCAATGTCCACCCCACCACCACCACCGCCACCACCACCACCACCACCACCACCACCACCACCACCACCACAATCATCACCACCAGCACCTGCATCTTCCTTTCAGGGCTTCGGGACCGGATGCAGAGGCTTCGTTGTTCCGAGGTCGCAGCGCCACCATGGCCTCCCCATCGAGACAAAATGAGGAAAAGGTGAGCCTGGAGTTCGCGGGCAGGCCGGAATGCTCCCAGAAGATGCAGATCCTCGTTCAAAAAGATGCTTGTACTGAACATGGCGCAGTATCCCGGCAGCCATGAACAGCTTGATTGCATTCCGCAGCCATCTAGTCGATCTAGTCCCACAGCCCCAGGGAGGAGGAGAGCTCACAGGACCCATCATGGCATGGGCGAAGGATTCCGACTCGAGTAGTGACGAGGGTGGTGTGGCAAGTACGCTGAAAACCACGGCCAGAACTTGTTGTTTCTGGTTGAAGCTGTTTCCACCGGTGAAGTGGATGCTCAACTTCTTCAAATGGCTTTTCCTTTCTCGCCAGGAATATGCTGTGCTCAAGAAGGCCAAAGAGCTCTTCAAGACTGTGAATGTTGACAGTGGTTGTTGCACTGACTGTCCGTACAAGCAGTTGTCCAAGATGGAGAGAATGTACCTGCACCGCATCTTGAAGGACACGTCTCGTTGGGGGAGCGAGAGAAAGTTTATCCAGACCTTCCAGTCCCAGGTGATTGCCATGCAGAAGGAGGACAGCGACGCAGGAGAAGCCATCACTGAAGGGGAGTTCTGCAACGCTGTGTTGTATGCCGTGCAAGAGTACATGGAGAAGATCGTCAACAAGATGAACTCAGAGATCAAAAAGGAATACAAGAAAGACGAGAAGCTGGCGGAGGCTCCATGATCAGAGAGAGGCCATGAGCCGGGGGCCAGGGACCGGAGATGCAAAACTGCAGAGAAGTCCGGGTGAAGCCTTGCATGTCTGAATAGCACAGACGGGAGTCCTGAAGGGAGTTCCAATGATGCATCATCATCACGGTGACAAGGCTGGGCCAATGCTGCCAGTGGCCACTCACCGACAGTTTCAGCCACTATCCATGAGCCGCGAATTGCTGCAGCTTCGACATTGAGCCTTAAAAAGCTGCTGTCGCAAGCGATCGGTACAACACCTTCCATCACTGACCATCTTTCTGGCGAGGTATATCGACATCGCGAAGGCTGGAATAAATTGCAATGCAAAATTATGCGCACATGCTTGACCGCAGGCCCTCGCCGACTTTAGCAATACCTGCATCAGTGACGACACGGAAAGAGGGTTCAAGACCATCAATGCAGACGGCAGGGGCACTCAGTCACGGCCGTGTGTGCGTGTCTTTCGTCTCTCATAATGTGTAGGTACGAAGACAGTCTGAGGCGAGCGACGTAAGGGGTTTGCCTTACCCGTTCAGTTTGGCGGAAGAGGGAGAGCAGGCGAACAGTCGGAGGCTTTTCCATGACGTTTCATGTTTTTTGGTATTTTCGTGGGGCCGGTGAGGACGAATTCAAGGACCAACAGAAGAACCACCCAACCAAAACCCCATGTTCATTCTGCGATTCTTCTCTGGCAACCGCCTTGCGAAAACTACTTCTCAAGGCGGATGTTCTTGGGGGTTCAGTCTGCCTCTCTCGGTGAGCGAATCTTTCTCCTCTGTGGCCAGGCACAGTGGATGCGCCTGCAGGACTGATGCACCTGAAGGCCTGAGCAGAAAGCGTGGTTGTCGAGCTGGAACGCGATTCTGGTGCATTGCGACCGTTGTGACAGTGCATCAGGATCCCGTGGCGCAAGAGCAGCGGCGCCAAGCCGAGACGGTCTGTCCCGAGCATGCAAGCTTCTTCTGTGGCGTGCAATCCCCGATACGGGCACTGCGGTTCAAACACTCGAGAGTCAAGCACCCCGCGGATTCAAGCGCTCGGTGTGTTAGGGTAGCTTAGGGTCAAGATTGAATGTCGGAGTGTGGGTTTGGGGAGTGCCGATTGTTTATGTTCTGATTTGGATGGATTCGGGTCGTGGTTGATGCATGAGGCCCAAGTCTACTACGATGTTGCTACTCAGTTGAAGGGGTTTGCGCAGCCTCAGGCTGCTGTGTCGTTTTGGGTCTATGGGGATTTCCGTCCAAACCACTCCAAGACCTGCTGTAAGCAGATGTGTGCGAATAGTCCGTGCCCCAAAACCGTGCGAGCGCGACTATCCGCACGAAGCATCTGTGCGCCGTGCACGAATCCGGCGACAGAGCAAAAGTCCCGGGAGTGCAAATCCCCAGTGCGCGACTTTTTTTTCCAGTGGCGAATCCGGTCTTTCCAGTGCACAAAGGGTTATCCAGCCCAGCTTTGCAACAGTCCTTGCTGTGCTCCAGGAGGCGGCCACGAAGGTTCAAGCCCTGGAGAGAGGTCGCAAGGCACGAAAGCAGGCAGCTTTGGGCACAGGGCATAGACAAAGATGGGCAGCTTCTCTGATTCTCTAAGACACGGCGAGGACTGGAATGCAGGATCGAGCATACGAGTGCACGCCGATCTGTTGCTGCATGCAGAGTGGTGAAAGGCCAAAGAGGTGCGAGAGACAGTCGAGGAGGTGCGGCTGGTATGGCGGTTTTGTAGAAAAATTAACACATGCAGCTCACTGCGTTTTCGTAGCCACCTTCTGGAGCGTCCTGTTCAGAGGAACCGAGTGAAGAGAGCGCGCCTGCGCCTGGCTCCTCATCATCTCTTCCGAACGAGGTCCAGTTGATCTGAGACATGCCCATATCAATGTGTGTACTTGGTGTTCACGACATTGATTTTCTCCTGGCAGGGCTCGCAAGAGGTTGAGCCGCCTCCTGCGCCTCCTCCGCCTCCGCCTGCAGCCGAGGCAGCTTCACACGGTCCGCGCCCTTTTGTTTGTCTTTCCGCTTCCGCTCGGAGGAAGAGGAGAGGAGATCTGCATCGGATAACGAGAACGATGACGCCTTCGGAGAGATTGAGGTGCGATGGCCTTCTTGCCATTGCTTTAAGAGAAAGTCGGTGTTCGACAGGAGGAATTCTCTCCGAAGACCGACATCGTGGGCCCTATCATCAGCATAGTTGGTGCCCCCCCCGCCACAAACACCAGCGCTCCGATGCCTGGCCTCATTAGAGTCGTAGTCTTGAGGGACTGTAGTCTGGAATGTCATCTTCAGATGCCTCGGTCCAGCCGCAAGCTTGCGAGAGCGCGGCATCTGGATCTAGCATCCCGCACTGGGGTCGAGGGCTGTGCCGCTGCAGGAACTCGCGGAAGAACTCCAGACGTTCCTCCGAGGCCATCATTGAAAGTGTTCTGAAGCTGCCCAGCTTCGTGCAGAGCTTCGCTTCCTGCGAGGCGAGCGACAGCGGTGGGGAGTCCGATGCATCCGAGCATCCGGACGACGAGTGCGCCCCTTCCGCCCCGCTATTCCTAGATGTTGATGCCAATCTCGGACCTCCAAGATGTGAGCCATGTGTCACTACTACGAGATGATCCCAGCGACAGTCTTGCAGGGACTGTGCTGCCATTTTGCCTCCACAGCTTTCACAAGTGCAGGAACTTGCAAGCAATGCCTAGTCGGACAACATTCATGCCGAGGGCAGACGCAGACTTGCAAGAACCGTACTGACCCCTTCTCCAACGGTTGTTAAGTGTACATTTCTCAACCTGGCAGGGTGTAGACAGTTGTTTTGCTCCATGGCGACAGTCGCCGTTCTCTTGGAGAACTCTTCACATGCTCGTTTCTGATTGCCTCACATCTGAGGCCAAAGATCAGACACTGGAGCTCGGTGCTTACTTCATGAGCGTCTTGGCGAGCAGTTTCGTTCGAGATCGACTCAGGAGGCTTCTCTCCATCTCCCGCTCGTCGTCCAATGAGCAGGCGGAGGTCATGGGCACCCTGCTGGAGACGGTGTGGTGGGTACCGGCCTTATCTTCCGTGCAGGCTGGAGATCCCAAGCCTCAAGACCTCCAGCACGCTCTGAGCAAGCAAGAAAGGAGCAAAGGACATTAGACTCATTAGACGCATGGTGGTGCAAGTCGTCGTTGTCCGGTGAGCTAGTGCTGCACTTCGAGCCCTCAGCCACAACCAGCTTCTGGCAACTTCTGATCAGATAACTCCGGACAAGCTCAAGTTTGGTGCCATGCTGAGGTCCGCCCACATTTACTTACACAAATAACAATAGAGGCCTAAGCTTGGAAGATTTCGCTGCAGTAGAGAGGAAGGATGGTTGCAGAACAGACACAATCTACGTAGCAAGGCCACAGACTGTCTGCTGCACCCGGCAACGTGGAAAACCTGCAGAAACCATGGAGAGCGAAGGGCAAGCACTTTCAAGAGTGGTTTGCAGCTTCGAGGTCAAAGTGGAGTTTGAAATGCAGGCTCAACGCCTAAGCCAGATGGAGGAGCGATTCTTGCTGATGTTATCCACTCACGGTTGGACTGTCTCGTCCACAGTCGGAGAACAGCAGGAACAAGCCTTGCCAACGCATGGTCTTGTGCCTGTTAAAACAAAATTGCATGCAGCAACTACGACGTGCGAGATGCAGAGTTGAGTCAGTTGCAGGAGACCTTGGAGAGACAGGCCACCGGCAAAGCGTAGGACGATGATACTCTTCGTTCCCTCCGACATTCGCGCACACACACACACGGTTGCCGAGACATTCTGCAACGACGATATATTTAGTGATCAACAGAGTTAGTCAGAACGTGTAGTAAGGCACTTTGCGGAACACCATCACATCACATGACCAAGTCAGGTAGGTGCGACTGGCCGTGCGCAGGGTGAGTTGACGACGCTGCTTGCAAGACTGTGGGCCGAGTTGCGCTTTCTCCAACTGAGAACGCAGGCTGCCCGCATCGCCACCCTGGAAGCACGGGAGCCCTTGGCGGTCCCGGCCTCGAAGTGGTTGGTGCATGGTCATTCTCGGTGTCAGTCGCGTGGCAGGCGTCCCCCAAGAAGCCTTCTCCCGTGGCCGTGACGTCCTCAAGCAAGGCCTGGCAATGCCTAACCATGCCTGGCCGCATGACCGCAACACACAGCAGAGTCGCTTCCGTGTCAACAACGCGGAGGCAGTCGATCTCCTCGGCCTCGACCCCTTCGAGCGTGCAAGCGAGCCGCAAGCCACTGCTCGCAAGGACCTCCTGTCAGTCATGTGTTCATAGTTGTGGTACAGTGGTATGGGTGCGATATCCCTTGAGGACTGGGCCGATGTCGAGGATGACGATGACGACGAGGAAAGTTGACTTGCGGCAAAGTCTTAAGCTTTTCTGGCCGTAGGGGGTTCTGTCAGCTTCCAGGCTTACATGCCCGCCGAGAAGGCCTGCCGCAGTGAGTCTGAGTGGAGGGAAGTGGAGCCGCAAAGGTTGTGGAAGGCCCGCTGGATGGGTCAAGGCCCTTGTTCACTGGCCTGGGCCTGGGCTTTGCCGGTTTGCAGCCCAAAAGCTGATGAGGCAAGAGGACCCCTGGCTCGAGGCAGCAGCAATGGCAAAGTTGGATCCTCAGCACCTGGCAGGGGTGCAGGGTCCGGTCCCAAAGTTCTTCAAGCCTCAGGCGTGGCACGAGCTTTTTGGATGCTTGGACCTCAGATTGCGTTGGAGTAGCTCCTTGGAGCGTGATGCTGTTTCGACCGCACCCTGAGAAGCCCGCAGCTGCGGCGCCTGCAGCACCACGGGTCGTTGCCGCCAAGAAGGTTTCTTCGGCGTGCAGTGTGCTCTGATGTGCAGTGAAGTCGCGGCTTCGAGAGCGTTCGGCAGGCAGCGGCACCCCAACCCCAGCCGTCACAGCCGTCCTGCCCTGATTGCCGGCTGTTAGAGCATCTAATCCAATGGCCCAAGTTCGCGAGGGCCCCGAGACCCGGCTTGCAGCCGGAACCTCAGAGCTGAAGGCTGGTTTTTTTTTGACCCGTTCACCTCCGGCCCGGCCCGTCAGGTGTTCAGACTCCTCGGTTGCCTCGGTTGCCCCTGCGCCGGGGTCCCATGGCTCAGAGCAGAGTCTAAGCTTGTCCAAACCTTGCCAACGAGGCCGGCATCCAGGTCCGGCACTTGTGACATCAGCGAAGCGAGTCGTAAACTAGGCTTCAGTAGTGGCTTCAGTCTTGCGGCTTTTCGGCTGTTTTGCTGCCCAAGCTCTGTGTAGGAGTGGTGATCCGTGAATCGCGGCCTTCGCACTGAGGCCCAAAGCTCGCTCCAAACCGGAGGTCAGCGAAGAGCTCATGGCCAAGCTCATGCAGGCCTGGCGAGCCGATGCGGCGAGCCGCATCGAGCCGCAGAGCTCTACAGAGTCCAGGAATCTGTTCTGACAGGCCGTCCACTCGAAAAAATTGATGGAGCCTGTCGAAGGCTACCGGCCAAGCTGCTTCGGAAGACCCGTTGCATCTCCTGGAAATGCGTTTCTGTCAGGTCTGCCCCAGCCTAGCAACGGTGCGACCAACGGAAATTCTCCACCCGTGACTCCCGTGCCCAAGAAGGCGCCGTCGGGATTTTGCATGGTTGAGAGACATCGGAGAGTCTTGCGGTGCGCAAGATGGCTCTCATTTGCCAGGCTCCACCTGCGGCCCTCCAGGCTGCAAGCAAGGCCTCTTTCCGAGAGTCTTCCAAGAGCCGTGCTTGAACACCACTCGGAGGTCGTGCCGGCAACGAAGTCGCTGCCAGCTGCGAAGCAATCTTGGCATGATTTGATGCTCAAAGATGTGCAGAGCGTCCTGCATCAACCTTATCCAGGAACCCCTGAGGGACAGAGAGAGAGAGAGAGAGAGCACCTCAGAAGCCAAGTGCCAGGCCAAAACCGAAGGCCACATCTGCCGTGGGACATGGGGACAGCGATGGGATTTCAACCTGTCTTGCGGAGCGCTGCCAGGGGGCACCCCCCATTCTGAGAGAGAAGCTCCTCGAGCAGAACGCAAGCTGAGTGGCGCGGAGTTGCAGGAGTCATTGTAATCGAGGTTCATGCTTCGCAGCGCCACCATTATAATGCTTCTCGAATGTAGACATGATTTCGCCGACTGCCTGTGTGGCATGGCGGAGTACGGATAAATATCTTGCACTTGTGTTCCTCGCCTGTCTGTGTGTGCGAGAGCCCGAATCTCGCCGTGGTTCTTGATCGGCCGTACGGGCCATATACTCACAGAAGCTAACTGAGCTTCGGCTTATAATTGTGCTTGCCAGCACTTGCTGCGGAGGCATGCCGTTTGGTGAAGTAGGCTTGCACAGTTGAGAGTTTCAGGATAGCTTTTTCTCGTGGTGCGACCACTGCGTTTTGGCTGCGCTCCAAACACTGCCCGATTGGATCGGCGCTAACAGCGATCTGACCAATTTGTCGCAAGTTTCGCATCTTCGCAGGTGGCCGCCGAAACCTCCCATTGTACGTTTCCGGGCGCAGTGCGAGCACGGGCCTTGGAGCTCCGAAAGTCTCCAGCCGTCCTCTCCTCTCCGCCTTGGGCAGGTTCTCCGCTCAGTTCAAGGCGGCCTTGCTTCAGCTTTGACGATGATTTGGACATGTTTGGATCTCCCCGCGCCAGCCTGCGGAAGTGAAAGAAGAGCGGCGCCGCTCCATCCAGCAGGCATGCGCCGGATCTATCTTGCACCCAGCCCCAAGTCGTTTTCTTATGCTAGCAACTGGACTTTAACTGGAAGGCTCAGGAAAGGAAGCAGATCAAAATGGATGCCAAGGAGGTCATCCAGGCCAGGCCTGAGGACCCACCTTTGCGTAGCTCGAGCACCGCCTCGAGCATCCCCCCTTCGGCAGGACATGACGCTGACCTGGATTAACATGTATTTCAAGCTTGATGTCGTGACCCCACGCGACCTTACAGCAAGGATCTCAGAGATGTGTTCGGAATGGAGACGCGCCAGACTCCACGCCAAAGAATTGAAGACAACACTGACAGCACTTCACTTCTGTGCATGCAGAAGCCTTGAAGGCGGGCTTTTCTATCATCATTCTGACTATGATGGATGTCATCTATCCAAAGAAAGTCCGATGGCATCAGGCGGGTGTCACAAGCGGGAACGGCGGAACCTTGCTCTGTTTCGTATCTCTGCTGGGAGGTGGACTGGAACGTGGCGTACATGCGGGCGGGGCATCCTGAAGAGTTGGGCCAAGCACCGTGTGAAGTTAGACCTCCCTGGTCGCTGAGGCTCTGGCACATAATCACAGGGTGCTGGAGAAGCACTGGAACGAGGTTCGCACTGCGACAAAGCAAGAGTGCATCTTTGAGTGTTTTGCGACGCGTGCTTTCACGCACCATCACGTATGGTCTTTTCCAGACTGACTGTTCCGGAGGTCAACATGGACAAGGTCAAGGAGCTGCTTGAAGTTGTCCGATGCTCTGTTGTTCGGAGTCCCTTATGTGCTGTTTGTCAGGATCTTCGACGAGATCGCATTGGCATGTCCATCGAGAACACCTTAGACGCCTCTATAGAGGATGCCCGAGCTGGCTGGATTGAGAAGGGAAGACCTGACCGCATCAAAGCATGGATTCAAGAGCGTTTCACTCATGCGCTTGCCAGAAGCTGCACTTCCTGAAGCAAGTGAAGCGCTGGTTCGATTGCCGGCATACGCCTCAGATTTCACCGCATGCCTCTCTGTTGCATTATTGACTTGTTGAAGCATTGTACTGTGCGCTAGGGTCCAGCACTCTGCCGCCTACGACCCTATCAAGCGGCGCACGGAGGTGGAGAAACAGCCGAAGCCTCGTGTTCACCGCTGCTACAAAATCCTTGCGCTCTTCGGGCCTGCCAAGGATCCGACTCACGGGCCGCTTGATGAAGTTCCCTACATGGATGCAGTACGACAAGGAGGCGCACAAGTACATGACCTGTGGCAAGCTGGACAGCTGACTATGAGATCGGTCTTGAGGAAGTCCAAGCCAGCCGTGCGACCAAGCCTGACAAGAACAAGCGAAGGCCCCGACACTCAGATTGGAGACAGGCACTGCAAATCTCGCGGCTTCATCTCCCAACTTTTGAGTCAGACTGCTGGCTGCGCCAGTTGCACGAACGGCCAGGTCGGAACAGACAGAGCCAACGACTGAGTACGAGAAGATGCCAGAGCTCCAGCCTCAGAGTGCTAGCGCCGTCAAAGAGCACTCGTGTCAGTTCCGCTCTTGCCGGGAAACTGATCAGGTTCAAGCGCCTTCTGTGGTTCTTGGGATCCGAGCATCAGACAATGTGCCTTCGCCGCAGCACGGATTAAGAAAGACAGCATCGGACACGCCCGATTCAAAGGATTTTTCGATAGTGATTGCACCAGCGTGCTGAGGTGAGATTGGCCTGCTCCGGCGAGGAAGTCGAAGCATTTTCCGTTTCACACTCTTCTCGCTCTCGCTCTCTGCTCCGGCGGACCGGCCTTCGGTGAAGAGCGCCGAAGGCACTGCGGAAGTGAGATGGAGAAAAGGCAGAGAACCGGGAGAGTCGGAGAGCGAACCAGAGGCTAGAATTTCGAGAGGATTCGCTTCGGGGCTTGGGTATGTTGCTGACGTATCGCGCTTCTGTTGCCGTAGGCTGCCCTAGGCACGAGGTGGGAGCTTGACCGTCGCTGCCCTGGCGGCTGCAGCAGGGGTTGCACCTGCGACGCCCAATCTTCCAAATTCCAACGACGGAGAGAGGCCTAACATCGTCTGTCTGATCTTTGAGCTTCCGCGACGCCTGCAGCAGCATCAACTGCAGCATTTCTGCGGACCCAACTGCAGCATGTGGCGGCAATCTACGTCGTGTTGCTCGCATCTGAAGTGTCCCGGCAAGGCATGTTTCTGGATTCGCGGCGAATTGCGATTCACCCGGACGAGGAAGCGAAAAGCAGCAGCTCTCGAGCGACCTGACCACTTTTTAGCATTTCCTTCGAGGAGAAAGATGCAGAGGGTCTGCTTGCCTCGCCAGAGCAGTGCTCTGCAGATACCATTTTGTCCAGAAAGGCCCGGCCTTGCTACACAGTACAGTAGCTAGGTTTCAGACGACAAAGAGCTGGCATTCCTCTGGTGTTTTTGTTGAGGTGGAGGCCTGCTGGACACGAAGGCCTGCAGTAATCGCCGCCAGCTTAGAATCCTGTGCTGGGGGCTTCCTGCTACACGCACCGATGGCCCAGGCATCCTTTCTTCTGAGTACCCGGGCTGAGACTAGAGTCTAGCTTAGAAAAGGAAGGTTGACCAATGCAGCGAGAGGCTTGGACCCTGAGGTGTTGGAGTCTTGACTGGCGTCGGCGTTGGGTTCCATTTGCGAGGGCAGCATGGCAACCTTCGACAGCCTGCTTACGCAAGCTGGCAGCAAGGAGGCGATGCCTCCCCGCTCCTCTCCCTCCGTATCCCTCCGTTCTGAGGCGAGCCTCTACAAGTTTGGCCAAGCAGCCGACCTAGCCCACTACGAAAAGGCGATCGAAGGCGTCTGCTCAAAGAGTGCCCAGCATGACCATAATCAGGCGGGGCTGTGCTTCCATTTCACGGAGGAAAGATCTGCACGCATGTTCCAGACTCTGTTTCTTCCGGTTTCTGTTGTCTTGTCATTAGGCGGTGCCCATCACGAAACCGATGGTTTTTCCGCGTGCAAACCTCTGCACAAGCACCTCCGGCTGAAATCTCGGTTTTCAGCAACGGGGCAAAAGCTTACCATAGCTAAAGCCAGTCCAGGTGTCAGGCGAAAATTTAGCAGAGCATATGAGGGGACCAGAGTCTCTAGCCACGTGACATGCCATGCTCCAAGGTCCGGGACAGAGGCCCTGAGAGCCCCTAAAGCGAATTAAAAGTAGTGCACCGCTGCACCGTGTAGGAGAAGCGCTGCTCTTGCAATGCTTCTGGTCGAGGGACCTCTGGACCTGTGAGAATTCTCGCGCATGCATCCTGGAATCCTCGTTCCTTCTCTGTGTCGCTCAGGTAAGTTGTTGTCCGCTGACTTTCCCTGTGGCTTCACCAGAAATTGGTCGTGCCCGTCCTTCCCGCATGCTGTGAAGGCCAGCAGCCAGCAATGACTCTCGCCAGCTGTTGGGAGACTCTGCAATCTTGAAGGCCAATGCAAGCGGCGTTGCAGCAAACGATGGTTCTCTTGGTTACTACTGTTGCTGTGAGATCGAGCGACTCAGGACGGGGCTCCGGATTGCAACACAACTTTATAGATCATGGGAGCTGCTTGCTAAATCCGCCAGGTCTGTGACCTGGTCAAGACATCCCTTCGAGGATGATGCAGACTCGATGCCCGAGCCGCAGAAAGTGCGGATAAAGGCTGGGAGGGCTGGGAGGGCCACGGGGCGGAGGGGAGGCACTTCAAGCGAAATTGCATTGGTTTTGCCCGGCAAGAGTCCAACGGGTGCTGTCGTGTCTCCCTGAGGTCGTGACATACAACATCTTTTGGTGGAACCTCTTTGGCATTCATAAGGGCAACGGTGGAACTGCTGGAGGCGTCGTCGCGACATCAAACGTGCGTCTTGGCAAGAAGACTGCGCTTTCGCCTGAGCTGCAGGACTTGTGGTTCCCCGCTAGTACAGTAGAGACTGACATGGTTTCAGCTTGAAGCGGTGAGTGGCTTCATAGCCACCGAAACATCTCGCTATCCTCACGGAACAAAAGCCAAACACCATTGCCCTGGTGCAGCTGGGGTAGGCACAGTTTGTCACTGAAGCTGTAACGACTATTCGGGCTTGGCCAAAGCAGCCCTCTTGCGAGAGCAAGCCGACGAGGCGGGAGCCTATAGACTTGATTGCCTTTCAAGAATGCCGTGGCTTGGCCGATATTAAGTCGTGGAGTTGGCAAAGGGAGCCTTCAGCGCCGGGCTTTACCTAAGGAGACAAAGACCGTGTGCTGGACGATGCCGGCCTCTTGAACAGTCCATCGGCAGAAGATAGCACAGCAGGGCCGCAAGGATCTGCTTAGTAAGCCTTCAAGTCGATGACACTGAGAACCGCTGAGTTGGTGTGCAGGCTTCCATACCTTTGCCGGAATGTACGAGAAATGCATAGCTCTCAACAAGGCGCCGATCTGCTTGAGGGTAGATACATGCAGGGCCGATGTGTCATAAGTTCTTGGTTCGACAGCCGCCGCGTTCCGGTGCTGATGTGCGCCTCTGCTTCGCACGCTGCAATGGTGTGTTCTGCATCCTTCGCTTGCTAAGGAGGCATGGATTTGGCTGGAGGAGGGCGAGGAGGACGTCGTGACCTGGAGCGCAATGCTTTCAAGTAGCCCTTCTTCCAATCCATTGCCAAACAGAGAAAGGCTTCCTCAGAGAGCTTCAATCGCAGAGAAGCATCAGGAATTGGCAGGACAAGAGCGACGAAGCATCGTAAGGTGCTGAGAGCAAGAAGCCAAGCACAGCGAAGCCAAACTTGCTTGAGATGGGACCCCATCTGGAGCTAGTGCGAGCAGTTCTATTAAACACCATGCAGTGTGAAGTCGCTGCCCTGTGGCAGGTGCTTGGTGGACCTACGACAGGTTAGGATAAACGAAGCTTGAAGTAATTAATTTCTAGTTCGGTCGACTGCTGTGCGGTCAGTTCATACGTCTCATCCGTCAAAGCACAGCCCTTCAATCAGGCTGTCTGTCTATCACGCTCGGTTCTAGCATCCAGCACCAGGAGGGACACATACCACGTACGATTTCTGTGTGCCTGTTCAGGCACATGTTGTTAGTGTTTGTTTGTATTTCTGTTCGCCGGTGACTGAATGCAATGAGTTTCATCATTTGCGTGCCTTCGAGGCGGCAGATGTCTACTGGTGCCTTGGTTGACTTGGTTGTCTTATCTGTGGTTGATTGCTCTTAAGCAGCGTCTTCGCTACCAGGGCCAGCGTTCGACTGCGTTCTGAAGCAGCATTTTTGCGCATGAGGCAATAGGAGCCCTGCCAAACTCTGCCAAGGAACAATTTCGGACCCCGCGGAGTGATTTGGGCTCGGGTGATGCACAGAGCTAGTGGTCTCCGTGCAACTTAGCAGCTCAGGATTCGCTGCCGTTTCGCATTGCTGGTGAACTGATTGTTTCGCAAACATGCTGTTGCTTCCAACCATATTCAACTTGCCATGCCTATGCCAACGCCTATGCGTCTCGTGTTTTAGAAGATTTTAGGATTTGGGTTTGCTCTTTAACTCTCTTGATCCTTGGCCTGAGTCCTAAGGTATTCTTCGCCAACCATCACGGCCCCCTCGCGGTCAATTCGGGTGGCCAGTGTGGTGGGTTTCGCACGGCCAGAAACCTCTTGAGGCCACTCTTGAAGCATTTACAACGGTCTTGTACTCGATTCTTTTGCAATGCATTCTACATTCTGCAGGGTTATCCACGAGAAAAGCGAACCCGGCGGTCGACTTAGTGTCCGGCGGCATCCTGCTTTACTGCGATTGCATCCTCCGGCGGTTCGAGCTCGCATCAGGTGACATTGTTATCTTGGCAGGGGACTTCAACGCCAATCCTGCTTCACACACAATTCAGGACTGCTGCAGGTTCTAGTGGATGAAAGCTGCCACTGTTTGACGTTCGTGGCCTTCCCGTTCCTTCCACAATAATTACCTGTAAATTCGTCGCCTTATTCGACAGAATCTTAATTTTTTTACTCCCTGGGTTGAAGCAGCTGCTACTAGCTGCACATGTGTAGTTCTTGACTACCTTTCTCCCCTCTTGTTGGAATGGCTCTGGCAAATGTGGAATAACTCATGTGTTGTGCTGGGCTGACGATTCCGACGTGCGATGCACACGAAGTGGGGTGAGAGCCAAGATCGACTGTCACCCACGGTCGCGTCCTTGTACGAGAACCTGCAGCCCAAAGGCCTGAATATCAAAGCTCGGCATGTGGGTGTCTGTTTCGTGATGTTTGGTGGGGCTTGGCGTGTCAACGCTTGGTAGCTTTGGCTTGACGGCACTGCAGGGCTGAGATAAGTGCTCAGCACGGCGGTGTCGGTGTCTGAAGATACCGAGCGAAAGGGGCGCCGCAAAATGCAAGAGTCTCTCGTGTCGGTATGTGATAGGGGCCTCACGATTCGGTTCTTGACTTTCATGATTTAGACGTTTACTTCGGGAAAGCGTTCGATTCGCGATTTATCACGAGATCCCCTGGCAAGAAGGAATGCACTGTTAAGGATACCTGACTTCCACTGCCCGTGCCCTTGCCACAGGAGTTGCGCAAAAGCCTCATGCATGTCCACGCAGGCATTCTGGTCTGGCCTGCAAGAGTATAGAGATGTCCATGTTTCTGCGAGCACGTTTCGGGCTACCGTCCATGACAAAGCTGATACACAGACCTTGCTCGTTATTGCCACAGGCACCGTTCTCGGAGGAATCGACAACGTCTTCACCAACCTGAAGCCGTTCCACGAATGCACTTCTTGCACTTCTTTCGGCTTGGGACATGCAGTGACAAGTCAAAGACATGATGAGGTCTTCTGTGGTTGCAAGAGAAGATCTGGGCTCTGGGGGCAGCGATCATCATGCGCTAGCCACCATCTTCGAGGTCGATACCGGAGGCCTTGCTAGCCATTGCTCCACCACAGCTCTCCACAGCCTGCAGCAAAGCTCGTCTGTGTGGAGCTTGTCCTGTGAGCAGGCTACCAGCAGCCCGCTGTGCCTTCTCAGGACGGCCCGTGCTGCAAATGGGACGGATCTCCGACTGTCTAGATTGTTGGTTCAAGCTTGTGCCATGCGGAGGATGCGAGCTACAGCGAAGCGATACTTGGAGGGTGTATGGGCTGCATTTCTTCCTTGGTTTACCAAAGTTCAGCCAGTGCAGTATTGGAGCATTTGTCACGGCATTAGGCAGTGAGGTGCAGCTGAAGCGTGATGCTGGTTCACCCAGCAATCTGCCCCGGAGGTTGCGCAAGGGTTTTCCTGGGGATGATTGGGGCGAATTCTGGCCGCGGTCGCAGTTGGTACGGGTTCGTGCTGGTTTTTGTTGGTCCGCAGTAAGCATCAACTGCCGTGAGGTGCGGGCTAGAGCACACTGATGTCAGCTACAACCCTGTTGGCAGGGGGCTTACTCGAGCTGGGCCGTCACTGCCCCGAGTTTCACCGCTCTCTCCAGGTGGCTCCGGACGGATCTTCGACTCCAAGAAGGCCTTTCAGCTGCAAGAGAGGGAGAGAGGTTGTGGCCGTTTTACGCCGGTCAGGTCGCCACCCCGGATTGGTGTTGCCGATATTGCCAACGCAGCAGCAGCTGCAAGGCATTCCGCTTCGAAGGCCACGGACTCAGAGCTGGAGCGAGTTCCGGCCACTGCCCGCAGCCCCGAGGCATCCCTGGCAGCAACAGTACAAGGCAGAGCCAGGGTGTTCGCAGAGTAACAAAGAGCAATACGACAGAGACCCGTTTCGGCGAGGTGTACGTTCCTGACCGATTTTGAGCCTGGCCTGAAGGACGAGCTAAGCGGCTGCAGGAGGTTTACTTTTGAGTTGCCGGTCGTTTCTTGGAGGATGCAAACTGCAGCTTCGTTGCTTCGGGATTGGCTGCGGAGTGGGCCATTCAGGTGGGCAAGACGTCCATGAGGAGGCTACTCAGGATTTTCAACGAAGGTCCCATCGGGGTGCAGACTTTGGGATGTAATGTGCAAAAAGGGGCAGTGTGTATCTCTCCCTATCTTTATGTCACTGGCTCTCTGTTTGCCCGGTCGGCTTGTGGAGATCACACGTGCCTGAGAGAGGTGTGTTGGAGGGCAGAGTCACAGCAGTGAAAAAGCTGAAGTACTCGTAGAACCGAGGGAGTCGTATAGATTTCAAGAGCTTCTCCGCACTGGCAGTCCGTGGAGCGAAGCTTCCGCGCGGATACTCGCGTGGCAGTTCTATGAGGCAGCGGGGTTTCGCCACGGAAAGATGGGGAGGTTTAAGAACTAAGAAGCACGTGGCCAGGTGCTGGCAGGGCTGCCTGGAGCTCAGCACCAAGCAATCATTGCGAGGACCGACTTGAATGCCAAGTGTGTCGAGGTGCAGCCCACCGAAGTTTCTGCACCTGATTCGCTCGTAGCTGGCTGCTTCTGATTTAGGGAGCATACACTTGCGCAGAACCCTTCGCTCAGCGCGAGCTGGCTTACTGTCCTGGTTCTGCCGACTCCGTCGGGCAGACCCTTTCGCCCAAGGCGATGTGCAACTCCTGTTTCGGCAGCACTGCATTGCTGTCGCAACACTTAGCGCAACACTTAGCGACTTAGCGCGGGGGATTAGAACAGACGCTGCGGATGGAGCGCTGTGCGAAGCACATTCGTTCAATCGCGTGCCGAATGGGGCCTGAAGCTGGAGGTCACAAAGGTGTTTTCCCATGCCTGCCTATTGTGATCGCCAAGCTCAGCTCTCCTTGTTCTTCCATGCCTCTTTTTTTAGTTTTTTTGCTCACGCCGGATCCAACCCAAATCGGGTGGAGTGCGCAAGGCCACGCTCGCTTTCTAGCAGCGCTTCCGGGTTAGGAGATGTCAAGGGGATCTGCTGCAGGAGGTTCTGTCATGCGGAAGGACTGTTTAAATCTTGGCGACCGTGGAATGTCAGTTGGTTAGGTGCTGGTAGCTGGACTTGTTTCGCAGTTGAACAGACATCCTGCCTAAATTAAATCCAAAAAACAGTAGGATGATGCAGATGCTACGGCAAGATAATAATAAGCGATCGAGTCAATAACCTCTCGCAGAACACCAGAATCTCCATCACGGATTATGGCAATCGTTAATACCCGTGGCGAATCTTGAGTGGCGCAAGCAAAAGACGTGCCAGTTCTTTGTGTGCATCTTTCGACGAGAGGCGCAAGTTCACATCTCAGATGACGTGTTCATACCTCAAGCTTCCGTTTGAAGTATGAAGTAGCTTTCGGTTGATGCAGCAGCTGGTGACCCAAGCGCCAACGACTGCGAGCAATTACCGCATTCGGCAACTGAGCGGAAACGCATTCTGATTCCTTAGTACACAGCACCGCGCAGTCTCATGCAGAGATGGCAGCAAGCCGGACAGGCTGAGATTTGCTCTGAGGGTCTGGGCCTTTTTTGTGCAGCGCGGGCAGCCGGGCAGGCGCTTCCGCACGAGGATCCGATTGCAGTCCGGCGGCCTCTCGGCTGCCCGCTTCAGCCGCCCGAGAGGCGAGCCGAGACAGACTGAGCCGGCGAGAGCCTCCGAGTCTGAGGCTGGCGTCAGCGGCGTCAGCGGCGTCGGCGGCGTCGGCGACGCTGCACCCGCTTGGTGCGCAGCTCAGCCCCGCTCAGCGCAGCTATGCTTGCCATGATTTGCCATGCAAATCAAGCGAAAGACCTCTTCGACCTCAAGGTGGATCGACGAGAGCGAGAGCGAGAGCTGCCTTCCTGGAGGTGTGGCTGTCTGGGTGTCGCGGCCCGGGCAGTGTCCGACGCGCGGCGTGCATGAGGGGAGCTGTCAGGTGGCGGCTCCGCATCTCAAGATGAGCTCGTTCAAACCTTGGCACTTCAGTTAATGCTGAGGGCCGAGGGTCGCTTCCGCATCTGGGGGATCGTAGCGCTTCTCCTTGTCCCGACATCAGGTTCAAACGACTGACAGCAGAAGAGAGGGAAGACCTGGAGGAGCAAAGACTACAACCTAGGGCCATATGTCTCATATGACTCATACATCTTTTGACGCAAAGGGCCACATGATGCCAACTGAGGGTTGCTGCATTCCTCTACATCGAAACGGATTTCTGGGCTGACGCGAGGAGATGAAGACCTCCAGGTTCGAACGCGAAGCAGAGGCCCCTGCTTTCGGTGCAGAAGCCTTAGACGAATAGTCTCTCGTGTGCAGGAGCACGAGAACAAGGACCACAGGGAGCACAAAGCTGGGGCGGCAGCAGACGGCGACAACGGCGCAGCTGTTCCGTTGCCTGGGTGGCTCGATGTGTTTCCGAGTGTGGCCTTTGGGCGCATGCGACCCCCCATACTCATCATACTCTCTCCATCGAGGTTTCTTACAGCTGTACCAGGCGCACCGGCAGAACTAGAGGCCAACCGGAGCATGTTATCCTCTTCACAATGTTGAGCAGGTGTCAGCAGCGTGGCAAGCAGCTCGTACGTGCTCAGTGCCTACGAGCTGCGGCCCTGGTCGGATCATTCCCAAGCAACTCTAGTTCGGGTTAGTGAGTGTTCCTTACAGGTATGCCAAAGAGAACCCGATGATGACAGCCTGGACAGCGACTTGCCATTGTAGTCATGCCTCCACACCTTTCGCTGATATCCAGCTGTGTCAGCAAGAACCTTGAAAACCCCACTTAATCAGGTCGGAACCGCAGCATTCAGCGCGGCAGCGAGCGCATTCAGGCCTTTGTCAGAGCAAGCGCAACCATCCGTCAGTTCTGGAGATTCGGAGATGCTTCGCGAGGTCCGTCTACGACTACTTCTATCCACCTCAGGACACCTCCCAGCACTTTATTGAAGAGCTGCTACTGGGAGCCCTGACACTTCTCGTGCAGACTCCAAGCCGGAGGATGAGGGATGGTTTGGTGGCTGGGACGCCGGCCTGCTGAGTGGCGGAGCTGCGGTGGGCCGGCTTTTCGGACTTTCTCAGAGCATATTAGCAATTTGCGGCTTGTCGCTTCGGCCAGGCGGCTGGTGGCTGGTTCGGCAGCAGTGCCAGCGCAGCAGTCGCCGTGGCGAGTTTGACCCGTGAGATTCGAGCTCACGAAAGCCATGGAGTGACGTGCTGTGCATTTATTGAACTTATTGCAGTCGTAGGATCGCTGCGGGTCGCGACACATCGGTCTTGACCTTTTCAAAGCCAGCCTTCGTCAAGCAGCTGGTTCGGTGGGGGCGGCGCCGCAAGCAGCGATGCAAGCGCCGGGAGCCCTGGTTCCGATATGTTCCGATGTAAAGATGAGGATGACACAGGTCTTGGTCGCATCGTAGAGTTACGGTTGTGGGTTTACTGCTGAAGAGTTCCATGGGGCCGAGGCATCGTCAGGAGGCTGGTTTGGCTTCGGCAGCGCCGCCCCGGCCGCGGCTGGAGCTGGTGGAGCAGCCGGGGCTGCTGCTGGCGGCTGGTTTGGTGGACTCTTCGGAGGTGGGGCCGAGCACTCATACCGTGACGGTGGCCAAGTTGACATGTGGTCTGCGTACGGAGCTGTATGCTTATGCATGCTACAGGCTCTTCTGGCGAGGACAAGGGCCAGGCCGATCAGTACGAGCTGTTCGTGTGGTTAGTGCTGTGCATGCCGAAGACGCGGAAACATAACTTGTCAGCTTGTCGACGAGGGTGGGTTGTAGCGTGGCCTCAACTCAACTCCTTCTAAAGACCCTCATCTGCCTCAGAAGAGAAGCCGTATACATCCTCAGAGCGGCCAATGATTCATTGCGTGGGCAGGGTCCGGTCCACAACGGTTTGTCAACCGAGACTTCCGCTACAACGAAAGAAGCGATGCTTTCGGAGTCCGATCGTCGTCGGTTGAGGCGGGTTAGCGCTTGAGTCGAGGTCTTTGCAGGCGTTTGAGGCCCATGGGACAAGCCCCCGAATTTATGCACATCGAGGCAGGAGCTGGGGCACCACGTCCGACCCGATGCTGGGGCACTGTGCACATCTGTGCACATGGCTTCTAGGGTATACGGATCGTGATGCCGGAGACTGGAAGCTTGTAAGCTTCCGAGCCCATTTGCTGGAAAGCTGCTGCAGCTCGGCGTTGGGTTCCTGCTGGATAAACGCCTTCGAGCGGTGCGCGCTTGGCTAGCTTCATCTCTCGGTCTGTACTTCGTCTGCTCCTGGTCCTGCGTGTTCTGCTCGTTGAGCTTGTTCCCCCTATGAGTGCACGTATTGTTGCGCTTGTATGTGCCTCTTCAAGTTTCTGCTGGCAAAGATACGATGTGTGCAGCCTCGCGATACAGCAATAGCGTTAGTCACCTGGCTTTTGTGACACCCGAGTTTAGCTGGGACATTGGTAAACGCTCGCTTCTGCCGTCATCCGCAACTTCTTGCAGCAGAGAGTCGACATGACTGACATGACAACATGAATATTTCCAGGAGCCAATGGCCAGCCTTATTGGGAGCCGGAACAGCAAGCAGCGCATGCACATGTGGTTGGTCTGAGTTACTGACACCTCAAGAGTGATTGACAAAAACATATGTTTAGATTGTTTAGCAGCATGCAGCCTTCGTGCGGCCTGATTGGCACTGTGCCTGAAGACGGGATCCTACGTGGTCGCCTCTCAATTGCAAAAGTAAGTTTCGAGCTGTTCTAGTTGTACCGAACCGTTCTGAGATTCTGGGGATTGACCTTGGGTCTCATAAACATGCATCATCGACTTTATGGCAGAGGTGTGGGTGTTGGCCGCTGGCTACTGCAAGCATGCCTCGTGGCCGCTCTCGTGACGCAGCTGCAATCTGTTACTCCCATGGCCAAGTGCATGACGGAACGGGCGGATTTTTGATTGCTTTGCAGCAGAGAAGATCAAGAGCCCCTGTGGTAGTAGTCAGTAGTTCAGTTTATGAGTTGATGACGTCTAGCTGCACCGGATGAGTTTGCCTAGATGCTTCGGGGTCCGTCATGGCACTACATCATCCATGCAGCGACCACATTTGAGGCATGCGCCGTTTGTGTCGTGAGCTCAGTCTTGGCAGGATGAAGGCCGCAGTCAGGATGGAATCAGCAGATCAACCATAACATCAGGTTGCAGTCCTCATTCTGCTTCTGAGCGAATCGCTGGTGCTCTTCATCGTCACACTTTCAGTTGCTTGGCCCCTTCTAAGTTACGTGCACCAAAACCCGTGGCTGCGTGTGCCAAATGCTGCGCTTCGTGTCCGGCTCGTCCCAAGCTCTCAACAGGCTGTCTCAGCTTGCCGAGGTCTCTGGGTTCCTTTTTGCAAGCATGCTCCTTGCCTGTGAAAGGGGAAACGTGACTCCTGATGAAAGCGGTGAGATGCGGTGAGTCCTTCGGGAGCTGCAGAGCCCGAGGAAGTTTTGCCTTCGTCCGTGGGCATGGCTAGGCTCGGGGCAGCTAACGAAGCTGACGATGTAAGCAATGCTGCACAATGCTCTGGCGCCAGAGTACAGGAGTGGATTCTCACTTGCCGATCCTCTTCGACCTACAGTCCTCGGGCTTGGAGGAACGCCTATGGCCGAGCAGAGCTTGGCCCCACGCATCCCACGCGCATCCCACGCGCAGAGCCAGGTTGGCACTTGGGACCATTGCTTCCTTCGGAGAAAATCCTGGCCGGCCGCAGCGCTCAGGGACCTGCCGCGTGGCACCAATTCAGGGGGCCTCACATGGGGAAGGAAGAGGCTGCTACCACACTACCTGTCACTACCTGCTACTGCGGCCAAGGCGCGTCTACAAAGAGACTGTAGACTCGCTGGGTGAAAGTGCAGACTCCGAGCCAGTTCCTATCTCCAGCAGCCAAAAGGCCGGACGTAGGAGGCATTTGGACAGGATGTGATCTCTGAGCTTTGCTGGTGAGGTGTCCGCAGAGCTTCCGCAGTGCTGTGACGCCACGAAGGCCTTTGCTGCAGACACTACAGAATCGGAATGCAACTGAGTAGTCTGAACAGTCCAAACTCTAGACAGCTTCTTCAATGCTCACAGTTTGGGGATAACGTGCTGTTTGTGCAATCCGATAGTTTGATTGAGCCCTCTCCGGGATTAGCAGGACATGCAGCATGTTGGTGCGAGACAGTTGCGAGGCGTGCTTTGGCTCGTGCTGGAGATCTTGCTGCTCGGGCGGCGCTTCAGATGCATTACTTTGCAGCTGAAACCTCCAAGTGGACAACATCGAGTTTCTGCTTGTAGCACTGGTGTCGTGTGATTGCACGGCTAAAGACTTCCAGCGATGCAATTCGCAAAGTGTCATTGCAAGATGTAAGGTTCCGGCGGCTTTTTGGTTTCCGGAGTGTTTCTGGGCGCAAAAGTCGAGAGCAAAGTCGTGCGCTTGACAAGAGACGTGCAGGCCTTAGACGGGTCGTGAAAGGCTTCTGGACCAATCTGCAGGGGCTGTCGCAGTTGGCTGGCTATCCTTGACGAGTTCCCAGCATATGCCTGAGTGCGACGCTCTCTGATAAGGTCTGGACGCTAAAGGAGGTTGAGCAACTCCTGGTTTTGGCACAGCAGGGACGCCAGCTGCTTGGCCTGCCCGAGCAGGCGTCTTTGATGTTGCACTTGGCAATCGGATGGTCACCTGGCCTTGAACGCGGTGCCTGGATGTGGCCTTGAGACACTGTTGTCTTCTGAAAATCGTGTCTTCGTTGCTTTGGTCCTGCAGGCCCCAGCGGATCTCGAGAACGCATCAGAACAAGTCCAGGCAAGCCGCTAAACCAAAGCTGCCACTAGCCGCGCAGCTTTTGCAAATGAAGGGGGTGGCGATGATTCTTTTCTGATGCTAGGTGGTGGATGTTGAGTGCATCCCGGTGACATGCGTCATGGGCAAGGAGGACCTTGAGGGATGACCGTGGAGTGCAAATGGCGGCTTGCACAACTGCGCATTCCATTCGGGGACACCCGTTTCGTGTTCGCTCGGAGTCTCAGCGTGTAGCTCCTCAGGAACCTAACATGGAAAGGAAAGCCTGCGACATCCCGAGATCCCTACCCTAACATCGACATTGGCGGTGGCCACGTAGTCCTCCGGAACAGGTCGCATAGCAGCAAGATGTTTAAGCCATTTGTGGTGTCTTCCACTATCGTTCACATGCAGTACCGAGATCACGGGCACGTCAAAGGTGTAAGCACGAAAGCTGCATGGAATCGAAAGGGTGCAGCTGCCAAGCTAGATCCACCGACAAAGCTGTCAAACTGTCTTGTTTTTCTCCAACCGCAGGTTCAGTCCAGTAACAACATCCCCAAATGCCATGGGTTTCGCTCTGCACTCACTAGCCAGAGCTCTGTCTTCAGTGTGCAGGATGGTTTGCCAACTATCCGTGAGGACGCTGAAGGGAGCATTTGTAGGGTTCTGGTGCTTTCATAGATGTTGTTGGACCTTGGAGGACACCATTCTCCGGGATTCGACCGAGGCCTCGGTGTTGCCGATGTTCTCGAAGGACGGTTGCGAATTCGTTCCGTGGCTCTCCGGCTCTCCTTTCGTCAGCTAGGAAGCTTCGGAAGTGGCAGATGAGCGGTGCATGCCTACGGCACCTTAGCGAAGACTCAGGTGAAAATCAAGCTGTTCCTTGCCTCTGCGCATGTGCCCGAGGTGCGGTCAGGCGCTCTGGCTCCGCGCCCCAAGACAAAATCCCAGGCATCGGCGGGGCTTTGTGGCGGACCGTGCAGCTTAGAAGGGTTCAGTTCCGCTTCATCTCTTCCTTCTCGACTCCAGTCCAGGGATCTCGGGCTCACCTAGGACCTAGACCTAGTCTAGGACGGACACCGAGCCGTGCAGCAAACCTTGATCTCTTGGCAGGCAAAGGTACAAGACCTCCTGGCGGTGTGAAGACGTCCGCATCTGAGGAAAACAGACCGTAGCTTTGTTGCTGCTCTTGTAGCTCCCAGCTGTGAAGGTTCGAAATTTGAGGCCTGAGCGCCTGGAAAGATTTGAAGCCACCATCCTTTCAGCCATGCCGCCCGGACGGTCAGAGATGCTGCCGGGCTGTGCGACAGTGCTGTGATTTCTGCTTCTGTGATTAGTGTGGTTGTCTGAGCGATTTGGTGGATCGGTTACTCCAAACATGAATCACGCGGAGGGTGGGCTTGCGAGCAGGTCCTCGAGTCATTGTACAGTTATTTAAAATCTAAATGCATGCACTTCCGCTTTGGCCGGCCTATACGCGGTTGGGCCTTCCTGTTTCTCATGCTACCTGCGAGTCCATGCCCCCTAAAGTAAACAGGTGCGCTCATATTCGCAGGCAGCATGGAAAGTAAAATTCAGTGCTGCCGTTGCACCAAGAGCTGTGGAGCTTGGCCCATGTAGTAGCGGCGTGCATTTCGGATGTGCTTGGAAGGACTTGCGTGCGGGCAAAGTTCGCTGCGCAAGCCGCAAGCCTGCTAGTAGGGAAGTGGATGCACGAAAGGGAACGCGCTGCAACACATCACGTGGTTGGGCTCCCGATGCACCTAGCATCCTCATTTCCGCGAAGATACTGCACGGGACGCCAACTTCTGTGGAGCTTAATGTTGTTTGCTGTTGTCAGAAGCTGCATAAAGCAGTTCACTGACGACCAGCCTCATTCCAAGGTCATGCCTTCTAGTGGCCAATCGAGTCAGAGTCTGCAGGGATTTATCGTGTGGTCGCCCCTAAAGACCAGCAGTCTGTAGATAACCGCCTCCAGGCAGATATCTGTAAAGCAGCTCTTGGACAGTAAGGGACTGAGAAAGTCAGAGACATCAGCGCAAACCGTCTGTCCACCTTGATCGCAAGCACGTGTACGTTGTGGCTGTCTCGCTCAAGGGGGCAACATGTAGTCCAGAGGCGATCAGATGCGGCGAAAAATCCCGTTGCACTATCTCTGGTACCCTGTCGCTGGTCTAGGCTATGGTTTGCAAGCATCGGTGCTGGCAGGCCAGCAGCAGTCGTTCAGCTGGTGGAGGAGGGGGAGATGCAGCTGAGGGTCAGGAAGAAGGCAGGCCTCTCTTGCCTTGCTGGCTGTCTTTCTTGTTGCAGCGCGGCGCAGGCGGTTTCGACTTGGAAGGAGAGTTGGACATGGACCTGGGCTTAGGTGGAGACGACGATGGGGAGGCACAGCAGGGAAAAGCTGCATGGACGGAGCTGGGCTAAGCCTACAAGGAATGTAAACAAACTGCGGGGTAAGCCATCTTCGCCGAACAGCAGCAATTCATGCTGATAGCTTGGCAACACTTCGGCCAGCATGTCGCATGATGTCAGGGTGCCTGCGAGCAGCAGTGAGCTGCAGAAGGAGAGATGGCTCCCCGCTGAGGGAAGACTCGAGCTCTTCTCGGGGGCCGAAAGCCGCCGGTGCTCATTCCGTTGCTGCGATTGTACATAAAAGGAGGCAGCAGCAACATGCACTGCAAGAAGATCTTGCGGTCGTAGTATGCCGAGCAGACGATTGTGTGAAGATGCGGCGTGATGAATTGTCCTCTGATCCAGGGTAGAGGTGCCTTGAAAGCAGAGGGCAGCGTCTCCGTAAGCTGCGAGGATCAAAGGCACTGGCCACAGAGCTCTGCTTGGGGGAAAGCGCTTAGAGCCGTGGGCAGTGCCAGCCAGTGCCAGTTATGACGGCGGCTGGACAGGCGATGGTTGCCGATTACTCAGAGGTTGAGCAAAGAGCCATCCAGCCTTTTGTTGGCAAATTTGGCAACAGTGCGAAAACAGGTGCTGGTGCCCATTCGGCCAAAGTCAGCCATGACTTTCGTAAATGCTGCTGGCTCGGCTTTTGGACGGGATGAGCCTGAGACCAGGTCGTCCCCTAGGACCTAGAGTAGGACGGGATGCTCGAGTAGCAACAAGTACTCGGCATGCTGAAGCGCTTGTGGCTTGCCAACAAGCTCGCTCCCCTCCAGTCCTCTGAGGACAAAGATGCCGAACTCATGGGCCTTGTCGACGAGGAGAAAGAGCGCTTGGCCCGAGCCCCCGAAGGGCCATGTCCAATGCTTCAGGGCTCAGGGGCCGACACCTGCCAGGCGCAAGTAGACAAGGACAAGCAGAAAGAGAATCAGCTGAAGGCCTGCACCGGTTGGCATGAAACGCGGGCTACAAGGCGAGAGCTGTCTTTTCTGGAGGCCTCTGACTTGGCAGACCTCCGCGCTGCTCGGAAGGCAGGCCTTGAGTGACCGCATGGAGCAAGCGACAACATCGACAGCCCTTCTCCTTTTCTCTCGTCCCATCCCCGCACACTCCCACAGTTCACGGTCTTACGCTTGTCTGGAAGCTACAACTACAATCTGCATAGTTCTTCCTCGCCTCTCCAGTGGCCTTGGCTGGGCGTGGCTCAGGAGCTGAAGAGGTCCCGGCAGGAAGAGGAGCATGCGCGGAAGGAGGCCTAAGACAAGCGCGAGGTTTTCAGAGCAGACTTCAGATCGACGAACCAAGTGCAAGAGAGAACGATCGCAGAGCTTTGTTTCTCTTAGAGATGCCTGTGCCGCTCCCGATCCCTCCTGCTCTTGGCAGGCCCTCGAGGCTCGATTGAAGGCCAAGCCGGAGAAGGGGGCACCCGCGATTCCGAGCTTTCTGCGGCGTGGCTGCAGCGGAAAGCCAGCTCGAGAGCACAGAGACGCGTGGCATATCATGGCAGGAAGGTCAAAGCTGCCAAAGCAAAGGATGCTCAGAAAGCCGAAGATGCAGGCCTGCGTCGCCTGCGTGGAATGTCGCACAAATCAGGCTATCTCGGACGACATCTCACCTTCTCCATCTTTTCCATGCTCGCATGCAGCTTCTTTTGCTACGAACGCAGCACTTTCCAGTGCTCGGTCACGAGGGCGCCTGAAGACTTGCGCCGCGATACAATGAGTGCTTGCAGGCGAGGATGTTCCTGACCCTGCAGAACCGGATGCGAAGCAGGCCAGAGTAGAGGCCGATCGGGTTGTGACAGCAAAGTCATGCTTGTGCCATCTGCGTCCTCGGAAGGCCCCGGTTGAAGCCGCCAGTGCTCCGTCCGGCCTTGGGGGCCTCGGTAGCTATGCGCCTGTTCCTCATAAAGGGGGACAAACCGGACCTTGGATGTTCTGTCCCAAGTTGTGATCAGGTCCGACAGTGAGGATGAGGTTGAGTCCAGTGAGGACGAGGCTACATGACCAGGCTCCCAAAAAAGAGGCGTGGTGCGCATGCCAATCTGCACAGCTCGGCTGCCTGGAGCAGCACGGTCTCACCAGTGTCACCCAGAACCCTCGTGTCCAGGAAGAGCGGTTAGACCCGGACTGGGCTGGATTTCTGTACCGGATCTCATAATCTCCTCGAGACGAAGGCAAGTCTCCCTGCCAACGAAATAAGATATGCGGCTTACTCAGTTTACTCTCGAACTCGCCTTTCTGCAGACCCATGCATAACATACTACCGTATTTTTTCCCATTTACCGGAACAACATGAGGTCCGCGGAAATCTGAAAGCCCAATCATAAGTATCGTCTCCGGCGAAATGAAAGGAGAAAATATTCGCTTGATTCTGGGTCTTTGAAGAAGAAAGATTTAGAAGATATTTGGATGATTTCTACACGAAATTCTGAAAATCACAACGAAAAGACGATATCATACAATATCAAATTCTCGGAATATGATATTTTCGACCAATTATATTTTATATTCTAATCTTTATTTTATTATTTTTTGTTAGATATCATAGATAGTTATTAGATATTTGATAGATACCGACTTGATATCGCGGGAGCTATAGACCGGAACGTCGAAGCGCAAGTTCTGGGTGAGGACGTAGATGTCGTAGGGAGTATCGTAGTGCGGCGGGCGAGGGCGTGTCGAGGGGCATTCGGGAATATATATTAGGAGGTGGATAATATGAAGATAAGGGTCGTGGGCAATATAATATTATATGAAGAGATTTCAATATTATAGATAAAATTTGAGGATCATGATAGATAAAGGGGAAATATTTGGGATGGAGATTTGGATTATAATTAAATGAAATATTAATTAGATTTCTAGTAGAATATATTCTTAAAATTCTGATTTATTTTCAATTTTAATATGAATTCATATTTCTCGATTCTGATATGATATTATATATATTATATTTTCTCCAAAAAATTTTATATAATACTAAATAAATATGAATATATTATTAATCTATCTTAGGAAGGTCTCGAAGATAATGTTGAAATTAATATTTCTATTATTAGGATTAAGATCTGATTAGAATATTTAAATTGGCTATTGAAGATAAAGAATTATTTCAATTCTAT